TAAACTTTCAAGCAGCTAATTAAATAATCGAGTGCACAGAAGTAAACAGTAAAATCCAGTGCATTTGGTCACCATTTCCAGTCTGTAAGTATGCACTCGGCTGAAGGGGAGAACCAGTCATGGCGTTGCTTATATGCCCTGAGACTTGACCACGCTCTGGGGTCTGGAGAAGTTTTTTGGCTTTTTCGGGGTGCACCCTGGTCGTAGGGTGCTGCAGCCACCTCACCTCCCAGAGTCTTAGCTTCTTCCTCTGTGACATGTGCACAGATCTGTGTTCTAGGTTCAAGGTTGAAAAACGGCGAACGTGCTTCAGAGCTGGACATCGTAGAGGTGAAAGCCACAGTCCTTCATACGGAAGGCGCAGCCTTAGGCTACAGGCCCAGCATGGACCAGAGGGCACCGCTCCATCTGTGCCCACCCCCTCCCTGGTCATGCACTGGCAGGTCGGAGGGGACACTGTCCCTTTGCTTCTTGAGTCATCAGAGGGCACTCAGACTTCTCTCCTCTAGCCAGCTGCCCCAGGAGGAGTGCCACTCAAACCCTGAGCCTGCGGTCTGGGGAGACCCCTGCTTGCCCAGAGGAACACGTGTCACTGGGGCCTTGTGCTTGGGGCTCAGGCTCGACTTTCACTGCTGCCTCCTGGTGGGAGGATGGGCGATCTCCTCTCCACACGAGGCTGTGCCCAGCCAGAGCACCCCCAGGGCTGCGGCTCCTCAGACTCACGTCCAGGGTAAGGGGCGCTTGAGCCCAAATGATGCTAGGAGTCCAGTTCCCTACAGCCCCCAAGCAAGCGACCACTTCCCTCAGAACCCGGTCTCTGCAGCGTCTTGGCACCTGTTCTCGTTCAGGATCCTTTATCTGAGAGCAACGGAAGTTCAATCCCGCAAGTTAAGGAAAAGGAAATTTTAGGTTCGGCGCCCCAGTCCCCAGAAGGGCATAAACAGAACTGGCTTTCAAGAGGACAAGAGTCGGGCCATTCCTGATTAGTTTGGGTTCCCCAAAAGCTAAGCCTGAGACAAAGACTTGGGTGCAGATTATTTATTCAGAAGGTATTTCCGGAAAGCCCAAGCGAGGACATGGGGGACAGTGGAACAGAGAAGTGAGAGTAACCACAGGGACGGGCCTGAGTGGATTGTAGGCGACCAAGGCTTTCTGGCAGAGACCCTCTGAGAAGCCACCGGACCGGCCGCAGGAGCTTCCAGTGAGGGCAGGGGAGGCTGGGGGCCTTTACCCACCAGCTCCCACCTCCTGCTTGTTGACAAGTGCTCCTGGGAGCCCAAGCTTGCAATATTTGTTGGAAGTAGCCAGTATTTGTTGTTTTGTTCTTTCCGACAGCAAGGGGGATTTCTTCAGGGGCCTGGACCTCCAGCCCCTCCAGCTGACGTCCATAGAGATCATGGAGACTCTTTCTCCCTGCTCCAGCCAGCAAAGTCTCAGGGAAGGACCCTGGTGGGCCTGACTGGATCACATGACCCTCTTGGGGCCGATCATGGCAATCCAGGTGATGGAGGATTATGATCGGCCCAGGATGAGTCATTTGCCCACCCCTGGCCAGAGCGGTGGGGTCTGTGCCCTAAAGAGCCAGTGTGATGGGGGCAGAGGTGTGGTCGGGCGCTTTCCCCATCAGAGAGGGTGGCCAGGACCAGCCAGCCCACCTGGCGGGCTCTAGGCCGTTTGATCCTGGGCGAGGAAGGTCTGGGATTTTGATCCTTTCCCTCCGAGAAGGCTCCTGAACTCGACATTTAAACTGGCCCCCTTCACCCTCCCTAGCAGCTCGCGGGCTCTGTATATCAACGGTTCCTCTCCTCCCTCGCCACTTTGACTTCAAACTCGCCAGACACTGCAGGTTAGGAAGGCACTTGAAACTCATAAGCTCCATCTAGCCGAGCGTGTTTTATGGTATTCTGGGAAAACTCTCTTTTTCCATTTACCAGGCGTGAATATTATCTGGAGAAAAGGTTTTGACAACGGATCGTACCACAAAAGAGCAAATGGAGAATTTTAAAATATTTTTCACACCTTAGGGCAATTGACATTTTAGTGAGATTCATGCTTTCGCTTTCCCTTACTAGAAATAAGACTTTCCCTTGCCCGACCTTAATGAGCGTTAAGGGAACCCTCTCCCTTAGCTCAAAGACAAGCGCATGTGAAGGAAGTTAGTGGCAAAAACCAAGGGGATCTCAACTGATGCGAAACTAGACTATGAAATTTCATCCTCCGTATCTAATCGAAAACGTGTCTTTTCAGAATCGGATGTTCATTCATTCTTCCATTCAACTGACATTTATCGAGTACCTCCTAGGCGAGATGAGAGTCCCCGACTTCCTGCTTCCAGGGGGCTCACTTCTGGCTGGGGAGACGGAAGACAAGCATGCATAGATGAAAAACACAAGATCCCCTCCAAGAGTGAATGCGCTCGAAACGCAGTAGAACAGGACGGATTCGGGGAAGCCTCACGGAAGACCATCTCGACCTTGAGCCAAGAGCTGAACGGTCAGGAAGATGGCGAGCAGAGAAGCAGCAGCTCAGGCCAGGGCTCAAGCAGGTGCCAGGGCCCGGGGGCAGGAGGCAGTTTGGAGGGTTCAGGAACTAGGAAAGAGGCATGAATGGCCGGGGTGCGGAGCGTGGGGGAGCGAGGCAGGGGTGGGTCGGAAAGAGCTGCCCTCGGCAGGGCGGTGGGCCATGGCGAAGAGTGGGCATTTCGATCTCGGCGTAACCGGCAGGCAGTGGAGGGCTGTGACAGGGGAAGGGTGCTTGCGGTTTCTTTCACCCTTGCTCTTGTGAAGCCAGCCCGCAGCAGTGCAGGTGGGACTGGCGTGTTCCAGCTGCCGGGGGAGCGGAGGAGAATCCAGAGGCAGAACTGGCAGCGCTGCTGATGGACGGCAGACGCAGGATGGGGAGTGGAAGGGGACGGAGGAGGAGGCGCCCACCTTCCTCGGGCTTTGCCGTTTTCCAAGGAAAGCTGAGCCCACTGGATGCCAAGTAAACCCACAGCCAAACTTGGCTCTGTGTGCAAACTGTGTTTTCTGAGTCACTGACAATACCTGGGTCCTGTCCATGTTATCTTGGGAGAAAAGGAAATCCAAGTCAGAGAATGACAGAAAATGTAGTTCTGTTAACTGAAGACAGCTTAATTCCAGGAGAAACGTTGTTTCGGTGCCAGCGAACAAGCTCTCCTCATTGTCCCTGTGTGACCCAAGGCTCTAGTTCCATCCTTCATAGTAGTCAAGTCGCACTAACCCGGAATTCAGTTTTGTTGTGAATTTCAATTAAGCCGCTTCAGAGCCCGCAGGTCTGGATGCCTGTGTTGCCGGCTGCCCTGAGAACAGCACCTTCTCCTCACCTGACGCTGGAAGTGCGTTGGGAAGCGTGGCTGCCCCCCACGACCCGCAGTAAATCCGTGAAATCGCTCCTTTCCCGCGGGACTGTGCGGCCAGGAGCACGACCCTCTGTGGGCACGCAATGCTCTCCGGTGGACTCGATCACTTTAAAAAGGCATCTGGTGATTAATGATCACAACTCTGATAAATGTAGCCGTTTCTAAGAGACTCTCACATATATCACTTGTTCATCTCGGCAGCTCTGGGAGGGTCACAGAGGCTTGTCCTTTTAATCCCTCTTTCTTCCCCCCAAATCGAAAAACCCCATCCTCTTCCCAGTGATTCGTGCAGTCTACAGATTCTCCTGCCAAAGAGCTGAGTGGGAAAGGAAGTGGATTGTGCAGGAAACAGAATCAAAGAAAATAACATGAGAAAATCCTTCTGTTGTAATTTCAAGTCAAAAGAGCAGGATGCAAAATCGTCTGTACAATATGGGAGGGCTATGTTCACCGCGAACACGTGTCCAGGGGAGAAGAACGACTCGGAGGAAATACCCATGGAGTCCACTGCAGCCCTTTGGGGATGACAGGACTACGGGTGATGTTTTACTTAACGTTTTTAATATTGCTTCATGATTTAAGATAATAAATACTTGTCGCTGATATTTATTGTTTTGTCCGCTCAGAAGAGCATCTGAGACCTTTTAGAAAACGTCGCCCCTGCTTCGAGCTTGTGCTTCTGCGATGCCACCCATCACTACATCCCACCCGTCCGGTGGGAAGGATGGGCACCCCCATGACCTAAACCGAGCCGGTAATGCCACCCCATTCCCCGGCCCCAGGTCAGGGTGGGCATAAGACTCAAGCCAGTTCACACCAAATCTTTCTCCAGGGCTGAGGGAGTAAAAGGACAAGGCAGGAAGGAGAGTGACTTGATGTGAGACTCGGCACGCTGGCTTTGAAGATGGGAGGGCTGCCACGGAACGAGGCACGCAGGCAGTTTCCGGAAGCCTCCAGAAGGAAGCGGCTCTGCCCGCATCTTCACTTGGGCTCAGTGAGGCTCATTTCAGACTTCCCACCTCCAGAACTGCAAGGTAACAACTTTGTGTTGTTTCAAGCCACTAAGTTTGTAGTCATTTGTTGCAGCAGCTGTAAGAAGCTCATACCAAATGGGAGGTCCCAACTTTACACGCAGGGAGCCTGGGCTTGGTCAGGACACCACGGCACGGCCACAAACTGTCTGCAGACCCCACCTGGGGAAATCCTTTCTTCTCTGTTGTGGCCATGACATTGATTGGGAGCTGTCAATCACAGGGCTACAAACACACTGGGCCCTGAGATTATGGAGCGGAAGCTGGGGATGAGGTCGGTCCTTCTGGGGTGGCACTAACAGGCCGTCTTCTCAACCATGTCCTGTAGAGGGGTGGGTGGGGGGAGGCACCTGGGGCCCAGGGAACCTGCCATACAAGAGCCATGAAGGGACAGGAAGTCAAGTGAAGTGTCCAGGGGCAGGTTACCACCAGTCCAGGTGAGGAGCAACCCAGGTGCCGGAGCTCCAGAAACGTCACCGGATGAACTGGGGTTAAATGTCTCCGTCAACTTTTGACTAAATACTGGGCTCAATGTATATCTTTTCAGAACATCACTACAGTCTTCTTCTTCTTTTCTTCTTTTTTTTTAATGCCTACAGCGCCTGGTCTTCCTAGGTGGTCTCCCATCCAAGTACTAACCAGGCCCGACCCTGCTTAGCTTCCGAGATCAGACGGGATCGGGTTCTTTCAGGGTGGGGTGGCCGTAGACCACAATAGTGTTCTAAACTGGTGTTTACTTGTCATTATGGGACACACTGGTGATTTGCTATTTATTCAGTTTATTTTTTAACTTTCTAGTTGTTGCATGTGTGCTTTTCTCATGTGTGAGTGTGACATTTTGTGCTATTTTAATAAAAAAAAAAATCCAAATGTTTCTGGTCACAAAGAACTTCTTTGGCCAAAGTCGATCTTGAAAATTGGTTGTGAATTATGTAACACGTAACAAAATACTTTTGTCTTTAGCCTTGGAACGTGAAAAGGTTTCTGCTTGTAAAGGTTTCTTTTCCATATGAAAGAATGTTGGTATAAAATTAAATAGTAAGTTTCCTGCCATGCTCATCCAAGGAAAAAATCTGTATTCACTAATTTGAATCAGATTGGGTTTTGCTAGAAACATTCTCATGCCGTCCAAGAGGTTTTGACGCCATTTTTAGGATCACCCTACAGTAAACGAGCGGAGCTCCAGAGATTTCGTCATTCCCATCCAATTTGCTAATTTTATGAATGGAATTTTCTTCATCTTCTAATGGGCAGCCCAGAGCTGCCCTTGCCGCTTCTGAGCTGTGAATTTATTATGAACAAGTCTCTTTTTCATGCTTTGATCAGTAATTAAATCTTCATGTAATGAGAAATATGGCATTCCAGGGATTCCGTCTAACCTCTTGAAGTTGTGAATTTGATTAGAATAATTTTCTTTCTCATTTTCATTGTTTTGATCAGTAACTAAAACTTTATTAAATATAGGATTTATAATATCCTACTAGCAAATTTTATCTGGGCCGTGCCTGACATAGTGTCTCACTTTCGTTGTTTCTAGCTTTAAAAAATAAAGTAGGCAGACCACTTAAATGAAGGAATCGTACTTCTTTTTTTCTTTCCAGTTTTTTTTCTTTTCTGAGCTTCACTTTCTATTTTTTATTCAGGATCTTGCTTTCTATTTCTCAGTGATTTAAAGATGAAAAATCGAATGTAGTTATATTTAAAGCGAGTACAATTTAAGTGTGTTAATATTAAAAACAAAGGAAAACAAATATGACAAAAATAACGTTTCATGTTTTTAAAAGTTGCTTTCTTTTAAAATATTAAAAATATTTTTAAAGTTAAAAGGGAAGGTAGAAAATATCGTCAACAAGTAGAAAAATCGCGACTACTTTTAAAAGGTGAATTTTTATCTAATTTTAAAAATTTAGGTAATCTTATTAAATAGTTTACAAAAATAGGGTTGCTTTCAGTTCTAGTGTTCAAAGTTCATCCAGTTACATCCACAGACGTCGCTACCGTGTTTCATGCATGTTATACCTAGATCTACATATATGCAAACTTAAGAGTCATGTGAATTATTTAACTATTGCAAAATGTTCTTCAGATATCAGGTGTGACTGTTGCAAATAATGCACCAATTCTTCAGTGTCTGTGGGCCACAAATTGGAATACGAAGAGAAACAAAATGGATTCTCAGCATCACAAAGAATGCTTCATTATGCAGGAATGTCTGTGTTTGCCCTAAGAGGATGGATTTGACAAGGTAATTAATTAGTCGTTTATCTTACCTAAGCACTTCTGCTGCTCAAATCCTCCCCTATTCTAAACCTGTGTCTATTTCTGACATCTCCAGGCATAATGCACAAACCGTCAAGGTATTTGGGCTCAGGGACTTTTTGTTTTGAGGACATAGAGCAAGAGATGCAGAGAATTGCTTCTGCAGGGCCTGAGCTGTGTTATCCGCCTGAGCGGATGTTTAGGGGTACAGATAGCACTATTCCAGCATCATCTGTCAGAACCCCAGGGACAGAGGCACGCATGTGTTCATCAAGACATTCACTCTGTGTGTGTGTGTGTGTGTGTATGTGCGTGTTTGTGTGTGTGTGATATGCGGAGCCCTCAGAAGGTTCGAACCCAGGACAGAACCCTCCTCTTACCCCGCCCCCCTACCTAGAACTGGCCTTTAAATATTTTTGAAGATGGAGAAATTTGAGAAACAAGGTTTTAGTCCACCCATCCATCCTTCCTTCCATTCTTCCTTCCTCCTATCCATCCATTTACTAAAAAAAAAAAAAAAAAAAAAAAAAAAATAACAAACAAAAAAACTACTTTCTGAGTATCTCCTGGGTACCGTGCTGGGTGTTGGAGTGACATACTGGGGCATCGAGAACCCTTTTTCAGTGAAGGCCGTATGCATGGGGCAACATTGGAGCTGTTCTTAAAGACTGTGCGATCGCCAGGGAAAGGAGAGGGAGAAAGACAGACTATTCAGAATGGACAGTTTGCACAAATGCACAGATTCATTAAAGGACTTCGATGTCTCACATCGAACGTGGCTGGAAGGCAGGACATCGGGGGGCCAAGGATACACAACAGTCTAGGGAGGCGTGTCGGAGCCTAGTTCTGAGTGGCCTTGTTGCCAGGTGAAGGAGTTTGTACTTTATCCTATGGTTTCGTTGTGACGTAATCAAAGATATAGTGTCAAGGAGGAAAATCTTTTCCTCTACCCTCTTAGGTCAGTGCTCGGGGGCCTGCAAATTAAACTTACAAAGGACAGATTAGCAAGTGAAAAAAACAGATGACATCCATACACACTGGAGTTCATAAAGTAAGGTGGTTCAAAGAAGTGCTTAGAATTTGGCGCTTTTATACCTTCTTAATAAGTAATGGGGAGGGACAGTGGGAAACTTCTGGGAGAACAAATGAGTTTTTAGAAGAAGGGGAGAAAGGACACTTAGGCAAAAGCAAATGACTTTTTAGAAAGATAAATGGGGCCTTAGGAGAACAGGTGAGAGATGTGAGTCCTGTGACGATGCCTGTTTGGGTCAAAGGAGAGTTCCTTTGGGACAGGGGGTTTAAGACAGTGTACTTTGCGGCGGGTGGGAGGGAGCTCTGCTTTTAGGCAGATAAGGGATTTCGTGTACTCAAATGCCTTCAACTCAAAATAATGGTACAGTGGCTCATTCTGAACTCCTTCAATGGTATGGATACTGCCTTGAAATGAGAGAGAATAGAGAAACGAAGAGAAGACCCTCGGAGACTGTAGATGCATCTGGGCAAGAGATAGCGAGGCCCAGATGAGTGCTTCTTAACGTGTAACATGAACACGACACACCTGTTAAAATGCAGACTCTGATTCAGAAGGTGGGGCCTGAGATTCTGCATCGCTATCAAGCTTCCCGATGTTGCTGCTGCTGCTGCTTCGTGGACCACACTTTCGACAGGAGGGCTTTTACTACAGCGGGGGCGGAGATGGAAGGCTCTAGACCTCGTCTGCACAATAGAGTCGCCTGGCCTGCATCCAGAGCCACCGCAGGTGAGTCTTCGGGGGTGGGCCCGGGCATCAGTGTCTTGTCAAACTCCCCAGGTGATTAAAACTTCAGGCAAGGTTGACAGCGGTGTCCTAGAACCTGTATCGGCTGACTGTACCCTGCATAAGCCACCCCACTCCCATCTCTGTAGATTAAGTTCTCTGGCTCTTAATGTCACAGCCGGTTCCCGGCAGAATGCAAGAGATGGCTTTGGGGACATGGGGGACTGAGAGACCAGGGGAAGACAAACGTCTAGCAGGATAGAAGTGATGACCATTCTTATCTTCATCTTCTTGGGTGTTTTGGATTTTGCTGCCTTCCTTAGAAACGGTCTCTGGGTATCTCGTCTCTCACAGAGCCAGGGAGCAAAAGTGACTCCTGCCGTGACAACTACGGGGGAAACGTCCAGAACCGAGCTGCTATCTGTAGCAGACGGGGCTGGGCGAAAAGCAGGAACGAAAAGACACACGGTTTTGCTTTAAAGAAAGTCAGTAGCTTTTTCTAATTATAAAAGTTATACGGGCTGCCGCGAAAACTTTCAAACACGTTAGACAGGTAAAATCCAGAAGGGGCAGCCCCCCGTGTCAAGTTGTTTTATCTGAATTTCCAATTAAAAAAAGAAAAGAAAAGAAAACTCAAAAGCAAGGCGCTGGAACTGGACACAATTGGAACTGAAAGCAGCATCCTCGTCGAGCTCCCACTGCATCAGCCCGTTGGCTCTTCGACTTCCAAACTTTCGCAAATGTGAAGCTGTTCACATCTTCTCACCTGGAGCGATCACTACTTAATGGTAGTGATTAACTCTCCAGCTCGGAAGGCAACTGGTTATTAAGTAACAACCTCCTGCCACGCTCTCCTCCTCCAAAACAATGCGCTCCCCAGCCCCAGCGTTCTCCTTGCGGGAGCCATGTCATGGCCTCGGGGCAGGTGGCACAAATGGATTCCTCCCCAGGCAGGCACGGAACCTGGCAACCAGCTCCTCTCACTTGAGGTTTAAGAAAAATGTTGCCACAGACAATTCTTTCTCGCTGGTTAAAAACCCACACGTTTGTGCTATTGACGAAATGTTAAGTTGTAAATCTGTTGATGGAATTAAGGAAATAAAATATACATTATTTTTAAAACATCGAATCGCGGGACATCTGGGGAAGATATTAAAATGCTACGAATCCTCAAGCATGCCAGAGGGAGCGGGGAAGGATAGGTGTGCGGGGCCGCGGAGCAAGGGAGCAGGCTCGTTAATCAGAGAGGGAAACAGCCTCCGCAGCGGCTTCGGCCTTGAGCGAGGCCACGCACACCTGGGTAAAGCCTGTTTGTTTCCTTAGGACTAATGTGGAGATGGACCATTCGGAAGCATCTATTTCAAAAGGATTTAAGGCTGAGATGCAGTGGGTGAATGAAGCGGGGTGGGACGAGGTAGCGGGTGGTCTGGCTCAAAGGCTAAATTTACAAGGAGAGAACAGTTTAACGGGGTGTGTATGATCATACAGACCTATAGATGGATTCTTTTAGCCAAAAATGAAACTTTCTGATTTTCTCACCTTATTTTATTGCCCTACATAAGGTCAAGAGCCACATTTTGTCAGTCGAGATCTATTAAATTCAGTCCCTTTTAACACTCAGTAACCCCTCTCTACACTCCTCGTGCCCTTTGATGCAGTTTATTCCACCCGCCATCATGGTGTGTCTTGAGCTC